ACCCTAGCAACTTTCTTATTAGACTGCCATCATGTTAACTGCTTAGTGGCAGATTGTCTTTGAGTGACACATCCTTTGCTTTGGGCCATATTGCTCAGTGGTGCTTGCCCCTATACTCAGCTTGGTCCCATCTGCCCAGACAGGTATTTGTAAACATACCCCTGGTGATGCCTGTACAGAGTATGTTGATAGGAAGTGTCTCCTTTAGTCCCTGACTCTAGCCAGTCCTTTGTCACTGGCATGGGTTAGAGGGACTTATTTGGGGATCACCCTAGGTTCTAACTGGAAAAATCACGGTAGGAATGATTTTGACAGAAGCAGAGTTTGAGCTGCTGATAATTACTATTTCAGCAAACCAACTGAGAATCAGGACTGCAATTAAAAAGAAACAATCTTCATGTATAATGACTTTCACACTGCATGATACTATTAAGTAACCATCATTAGCTACTAAAGCATGTACTACCCATTTTCTAGAGCCCTTTCTCTGCCAAGAAATCGAAGACCAAGAACACCAATGAGTGAGTCATCAGCATAATAATTGTTGATATAGGACATGCAAATTGAAATTATTTAAAAGGATTTAAATATCTGAGGTTTATTATTGTTGATGATAGTACCCAGACATTAAAGCTCTTCTTGAAGGGAGCCACAGTTCATGTCTTTGCATTTACAATTTATAGACTAGAAGACAGTAAGATACTCTCCATGTGATGCCTTAAAAAATAAAGGCATCACATAAAGGAGACTTTGGGCAATTTCCTAGGTATTGTGCTGGATTCTGGGAACAGAAAGATAAATAAAATATAGCCCCTATTCTCAACAAGCTTTCAGATTTATAAGACAAATACACACGGAAAAAAAAATCACAGCACAGTGTGATGAATGTAATAATCCAAGTGTGCACCTGGTATAAGATAGCTTGCAGGAGAAAGTTACAGTGAAGGGAGGAAAATAGTTCTCCAAAGAACCTTCAACTTCCCAGATGAAGCTCTTTTATTCTTTCCTCCCTGGAAAACATCTTTTTTTTCTCTCCTATACAAAAATGTTCATGTCATGAATGCACAGGAAAAATGGTAACCAAGAAGGGAGAAATGGAGGGCAGGTAACTTGCATGGGGTGGGGGGTAGGGGGGCCAGGGCGGGGGGGAAGGTCCTCCTAAGTTTTTCAAGACTTTGAGTACATGAGCTAAAAAAATTAAAAGTTTTAACAAAATGATTGTTGCATCCTAACTTTTCACAGATTGAGGTCTTTCAGCATTATTGCAGCCACATGCTGATATCAATTTTCTTGTTTCTTTGAGAAATATTTATATTACATTGAGGTCTGAGGGAAAGACAGATTTCTAACTGGACTCCTGCTTTTAATATAACTTGAAAAACAGCTGTAATTCCAATCCACATATTGCTTAGCTCAGAAGTACCACATTTTGGGTTTGGTTTTGTTTGTTCAGAGGTTGGTTCAGATACAAGGATAAGAAATGCATGGCTGAAAAGACACTGTATGGATTATATTCACTTCAGTCACTCCTTTTTATTGAAGTAAAAGCCCATAAAATAAAATCCACAGTTTTAGTCATTTTAAGCTGTACAATCCAGTGGCTTTTAGTATATTCACAATGTTATACAATCATCATCACTGTCTCACTGCAAAAAGAAACCTCATGCTTATCAAGCAGTTCTTTCCCATTTCCCTCTTCCTCTGGCCACTGACAGCCATCACTCTGCTTTCTGCCTTTACATGTCTGCCTCTCCTGTACATGTCATATAAAGGGAATCAGGGAATATGTGACCTTTTGTGTCTAATTCTTTCACTTTGCATAGGATTTTCAAGGTTCATGTGTATTGTAGCATGTTTTCAGTGCTTCATTCTTTTTTAATGATGAATAATATTCCATTGTGTGGATGCAGCATATTTTGCTTATTGTTTATAATTTGGATATACCTTCACTGGTGACTATTTGGGTTGTTTCTACTTTTTGGGTATTAGAACACGCATGCATAAGTGTTTTGTTCCAATACTTGCTATCAGTTTTGAGGGACAAAGACAGAGGTAGAATTGCTGAGTCTTAGGGTAATTCTCTTTTCAATGTTATTTTTTACTTTTTGCAGTAGTGGTGGTATAAACTCAGAACCTATTCCTGTGCTTGCTAGGCAAGTGCTCTACCACTAAAACATTTATTGCTTTAGTTCACTTTTCAGGTAGGAGCTCATGCTTTTGCCCAGCACCAGCCTGGGGCCCTAGATCTTGTTACCTCTGCCTCCTGAGCAGATGGGATTATAGACATTGCTTACACCACCACACCCAGCTTGTTTTTGAGATGGGATCTTATTAACTTTTTAGCAGGGCTGGCCTCAAGCCACCATCTTCCCATGTCCTCCTCCCCTGTAGTTATTTTAAACTTTTTAAAGAATCACTGAAATTGCTGCATCACTGTTTTATTCCCACCAGCAAAATGTGCCAATTTGTCCACATCCTTGTCAACATTTATTTTCTTATAAAAATTATTATGAGTGGTATCTCATTGTCAATCTCTTCTTATGAATAAATGTGCCATCTTAAAATCTATTTCATAAGTGAAAAGCATGCTCATGCCATGTCTTCAGTTGTTTTCTTCTTCTTCTTCTTCTTTTTTTTTTGTATGGGAAACCATGACTTTATTGAAGATTTTTTCTAGGATGAACTGCAAAGAGAACTTAATGAAATTCTAACAACAAAGCTGTCTTTTACCAACTCCCATCATCCACTTCCCCTGGAGCGACCATGATCAAAGTCAATGCCTATAAATGATGACTGTTGCAATGCCAGACCACAGAAATACAGCCAGGTGTCTTTAGTCAGTGATTGGCAGGGGCATCTAACCCATTACCAGGGTTGACTGGTAGCATGCTCTTTTTGGACAAAACCCACTACTTTATTTTTTAACCTGATGAACATTTTTTTCTCTCTGTATGTGCTGTATTTTTTTTTTTTAAGAAAAAGAGACATTTACTGAATACCAATTCCACATTCCACTTTAGATAAGGCAATTTGTGTAGCAAACACAATGAGTTAAATAGTTTCAGCATTCTGGAATTTCAAATTCCAGTCTTAAACACCTTTCTCATTAACAATTCTGTGTCCTTTGCCCACATGCCTTATTTTAATCTCTGATTGTTATCATCAACACACTACAAGTTATTCTTTCCTTTCCAGGAGCACTGAGTTTTGATAACTAAAGCACATATAGTATATGTAAATGATTACCCAGATAAAGCACCAAGACATTAGAAATTGTAGCTTTTTTTGTGTTTAATTTTAATAGGCTGAGCACTACACTGCAGCTGGTCAGTCTTCCTGGAACTTAGCATGTTTTAGACAAAGATTTACAGGGATCTTGATATGGCAAAGCAACATTTGTGAAAAAGAATCAGATCTTCCTTCAACTGGAAGGCCAAAGAGATACTAGGCTTACAGTGATGGAAAGTTTCAGGGGTCATTTGAAAATGATGGTAATTGAACTTCCATTCTTTCTTACATGAAAACTGCTCAGTTCCCAAAATTAACTTTGGGAACTTCAGGCATGCCTACATAGATGTGTGTCTTTAATGGTTTAGGCATTGTACTAGAGAGGGGTCATACCTGAAGGGTCTGGTATATCTTTAATATGTCACCGAAATTCCGAATGTCGTCCTAATGATCTTCGGGTTGGTGACAGGTCTGGTTATCTGTTCACGTGGATTTAGAGGAGCTGGCACGCTTGCCACCTGCCCAGGTCTTCACGTGCTCTCCACCTCTTTTCTCTGCAGCCAACTCTCCAGGGTTCAAAGTACAACACGGACGCAGGCGGAGCTGTTCTGAGCCGCTCAGCCTTATCTTTCTAGAGTGAACACCTAGATGGATTTCCAATACTGCGCCTGGTGCGCTCCGGAGGGAGCATCGGGCTCCTGCAGGGCTCCCAGCCGCGCGTCCCCATTTCTGCAGTCGATATTCCTCTGGGAGATGCCGGAGGTTCTGGGCACTACAAGCTTTATTAAGATATTTGCCGAGGTTCACTCAGTCCCCCGAACACTCCCGCCCGCGAAAGAGCTGCCAGCCGTGTTACTCAGAATCCCCTAACGCGCCCTTGGGTGTTTGGTGCTTACAGTGCTCATGGCTTAGGGTCAGTTTCCACGACTCCGAGTATTTGCGTTGGCAGTTGTGCTGGGGCTGGCTTCAAAGGGAGTTGGACCTCTGGAAGAACGTCAGCACGCCACCAGTCGGCACATGCAGTTTGCAAAGGCCATCTATGCAGCGATCTGAAGATACCGCCCTTTGGGAACGAGCCCCAACCACCACCACTACCCACTCCACCCCGGATTACCTGCCGCAGGTCTGACGGGCTGGGCAAACCCGGCGGGAGGTAGGAGGGTTAGGGTTCCCCGACAGCGCGACCGCGGAGGGGGACAGGAGCCCCTCCTGGAGCGGACAGCAACTAAAGGAAACTGGAAAGAACTCCAGACACCTGCATTTGGGGTTCTCTTCAGTCTCTGGTAGGAGTGGTGTTGGGGGTGGGACAGAATCTACACCCTTGACTGGTACCTACCCCCAAGAAAGGCAGAGAAACTCCCCAGGAATGGGTAAAGGTGCAGCGAGGGAAACCCGAAGCAGCCGCTCGAGTTGAGCCTACTCAACTGGGAAAGGGAAAAAAACTGGGGGAGCGGGACAAACCACCTATATGCCCTCCCTCTTTTTCTCTCCCCCACGCCTGCTCCCCCCTCCGTCTTTTTCGTAGCTGCTGACGCGATGGTGGTGCCTATTAATCATTCACCAGCCCAAACCAGCGCCAGTTAATGGCTGTGCGGCGCTGGGCTGTGCGGCGCTGGGCTCTACCCTCTTGGCCTGCCTTCGCCACTCACCGATGTGCCCAGGCGCCCCAGAGCGGCAAGAGGCAGCGCGTAAGCAACAGCCGGGCGATGCGCCCCACCGGCGCTGGTAGGAGCCGCTTTCTCCTTAGCTGCTTGGCCTGCCTTCGCCACTCACCGATGTGCCCAGGCGCCCCAGAGCGGCAAGAGGCAGCGCGTAAGCAACAGCCGGGCGATGCGCCCCACCGGCGCTGGTAGGAGCCGCTTTCTCCTTAGCTGCTGCGCTCTACCCCGAGGCGCCAGGAAGCGCTGAGCTGCAGGCGAGCGGCCGGGTGTCCAGGGAGGACGCAGGCGGCGGAGGCGCAAGGAGGGCGCCCTGCGCCGACAGTCCCACTGGCTCCCCTCAGCTGGGATGTTCCCCAATGGCACCGCCTCTTCTCCTTCCTCTTCTCCTAGCCCAAGCCCGGGCAGCTGCGGTGAAGGCGGCTGCAGCAGGGGCGCTGGGGCCGGCGCTGCGGACGGCATGGAGGAGCCCGGACGAAACGCGTCCCAAAACGGGACCTTAAGCGAGGGGCAGGGGAGCGCCATCCTCATCTCTTTCATCTACTCCGTGGTGTGCCTGGTGGGACTATGTGGCAACTCCATGGTCATCTATGTGATCCTGCGCTACGCCAAGATGAAGACGGCCACCAACATCTACATCCTAAACCTGGCCATTGCTGATGAGCTGCTCATGCTCAGCGTGCCCTTCTTGGTCACCTCCACATTGTTGCGCCACTGGCCCTTCGGTGCGCTGCTCTGCCGCCTCGTGCTCAGCGTGGACGCTGTCAACATGTTCACCAGCATCTACTGTCTGACAGTGCTTAGTGTGGACCGCTATGTGGCTGTGGTGCACCCCATCAAGGCTGCTCGCTACCGTCGACCCACCGTGGCCAAGGTGGTGAACTTGGGCGTGTGGGTGCTATCGCTGCTTGTAATCCTGCCCATCGTGGTCTTTTCCCGCACTGCGGCCAACAGCGACGGCACGGTGGCCTGCAACATGCTCATGCCCGAGCCTGCCCAGCGCTGGTTGGTGGGCTTCGTGTTGTACACATTTCTCATGGGCTTCCTGCTGCCCGTCGGGGCCATCTGCCTGTGTTATGTGCTCATCATCGCCAAGATGCGCATGGTGGCTCTCAAGGCCGGCTGGCAGCAGCGCAAGCGCTCAGAGCGCAAGATTACTCTAATGGTGATGATGGTGGTGATGGTGTTTGTCATCTGCTGGATGCCTTTCTACGTGGTGCAGTTGGTCAACGTGTTCGCTGAGCAGGACGACGCCACCGTGAGCCAGTTGTCGGTCATCCTTGGCTATGCTAACAGCTGTGCCAACCCCATTCTCTACGGCTTCCTCTCGGACAACTTCAAACGCTCTTTCCAGCGCATCCTGTGCCTCAGCTGGATGGACAACGCCGCCGAGGAGCCGGTCGATTACTACGCCACGGCCCTCAAGAGCCGTGCCTACAGCGTGGAGGACTTTCAGCCCGAGAACCTGGAGTCGGGAGGAGTCTTTCGTAATGGCACTTGCACTTCCCGAATTACCACGCTTTGAACTGGGGCCCTGCAGGGAGAGGGAGAGTGAGGAGAAGGGAAGGCCGGGTACGAGTGGGTGTTATCCGGGGCACCCGGGTGCCCTGAGTGTGTTAGCGGTCTAGGATACCGCGCGCCTCGAGTGGATGGAACTGGGAAAGTGGTTGTGATCACGGTAGAATTGAGAGCTTTGCTTATAAACTGGGAAGGCTTTGGGCAATCTTCTCGGACTCCCGCTTTTCCTCCCCTTCCTACACTGCACTTGCTCCTCCAAACTCCTCAATTCCCCCACACCCTGTAATTTCAATCCTACTTTATAGTCCTGACTGTGCAGATGACGAACGAACCCTTTAACGTCTCCAACTCTGATCCTCACTCCTTCGAGCCCTTATTTTTGTTTAAGCTGAGCCACAGTCACCACCACAGGTTTCCCTCGGGTGAGATTCCAGCTAGCCTTCAGCCCTCCTGCCAAGACGCGGGTCAGCTGGCCAGCTCGGCTAGGTGCCCCTAACCCTGTCCTGAACTATCACTCTTCTTTTGCACAGCTTTACTTTAAGGGAAGTCGGACAAGAGAATGAACTAAGCTAATGGTCTTTTCTTCCACTCTCTGGAGAAGGTTCAACCTTCCTGGACCACACCACCCGCTCCCACTCCACTCAGAGCAAAGTCAGGTGCTTAGAACACACACACACACACACACACACACACACACACAAGCCGAGAGCAAGGAGGAATTTAGAGTCCTGGGTTGGGGTGGGGGTGTCGTAGAAGTGCGCAGGGTTGCAATGACCCAGCGTGCTCCTGGGCAATGCGCTTCTGAGTTAGGCTGGGCAGAGTGGGCGCACTTTCCCAGGGGCATACTTTGCAAAGCACCGCTGTTGCTCTGCTTGGTTTTTTCCCTAGCCCAAGTTTCTGCAGGAGCCAATAGCAACTTACTGTTTTCTGCTCCAGTTTTTGTCAAATATCTGGCTCCCAGGGCGGAGAAACATAGAATGACAACTTTACAGCCTTGGCCAAAGCTGGTCTTGTCACCTCAGCCTGCAGGCTCCAGACTGTGAACTGCCTGGCTCGTGAAGGTTGCTGCCTTTCAAGCGGTGCCTAATAAATTATTTTCTTGTTTAACATATTTATTTATTTATGGTTTTGGGAAAACGTGTTTCTGCTTTTCTTCTCTACACTTGCTTAGCAGGGCTTTTCTTGGGTACCATGGGGTTAGAATGGAAAAGGAATGGAGGAAAGCTCCCTCCCCACTGCAAGGACCCTTCAAAACCTTGTCTTTCATGGGCCTTCTTAACCTTTCCTCTAGTCTTTCTACTTTTGCCTGTGTCCAGTGAAGTTTAGAGATTTTTCATACTTTTCTTATTGTAGTCTCTTGTCTTATAATAAATAAATGACAATGTAGGTTAACCTCTTCTTCAGGCAGAGTGAAAAGTCCTAAAATCCTGGCACCCCAGGAAACACACATAGGGGAAACATCGCACTCTATGTAATTCGGCTGTATACGTGTATATGCACATATTATATATATTTATATTTATTGATCTTGCGCCATTGTCACAAGTCCATGAAATAATTCCAAGTAAACCACAAACAGTGACAGAGGATCAAGTAGCAGTCAAACCTACTGCTAAGAAATATAATTCAAAAATTTTTCTTACTGCTGAGGATATACTTGTTTCTTCTGGGTCCCAGCACAGATAATTTTTGCATACAATCTAGTTAACAGAGTCACTTTTTTGAGGATGTTGGAAGTGAAATAATTTGTGTCTACATTTAACCTTACTAAGTACATTGGAAATCTGAGCAGGGCAAAGATCAAGTGAAACTATACTTCTTTGTATTTCCTGTATTGCTTTAGTATGCTGGTTTGTACACAGGAGGCACTAAATACATGCTGGTTGATTGGTCCATTGTTTAAGTAGCCCAGTGTGTTAGAGTGGCACTAAGATAATGAATATGGGATTCTCAGGTCCTTTCACTGAGGTGATACACAATGGTTGAATTCTCTACTGGAAAAGAAGTTTTGTGTATATTCATTTCAAGAACAATTGTGCTTTTCTAAAAGCAGTAGGCAGGAGTTGAAACTGTCTCTATGTTTTGTTTAACCTAATGAATAAATATACTTTGATCATAAATCAGAAAGTTGAGTTCTGTCCCTGAATAATAATCTATGATAACTCTTCTGTTAAATAGATTTTTAATGGTTAAGAACAGTGAAATTTACAAGTTGAATTCATCATTATTCTGTTTACAGGATGCAAACCTCTTAACATGTTACCACTATAATATTAACTAAATAAACAGATGTATTATGCTGTTTCTAGTTGTCTGACTTCCATTTGAATCTTATTTTTCAATGGATTATTGAACACACATACACTTAGATTTTAAGATTTCAGATTTGCTTTGGAAATTTTTACCAAGATTGCATTTGTGCTGTAAATTCTTTTAAGAAGAGAATCTTGTGTGTGTGTGTGTGTGTGTGTGTGTGTGTGTGTGAGAGAGAGAGAGAGAGAGAGAGAGAGAGAGAGAGAGAGAGATGACTAGGAAGGAATGTTGTCCCAGGTTGCACTCTTGTCACCAAACTAACCAGACAATCTCCATTTCTCACAGATTAAATTACTGCCTGTCCTCACTTATGACCTTAGACTTTGTTGTGAGAGCTAAGTAATTGCTGATTTACATCTTGAAGAAAGATAATGGGAGGGAAAGTATCTCTTAAAAGTGTTGTAGAAAGCAATGTGTAAAAGTAATAGAAAAATCAGGTTTCAACATCAGAGGGCATATTTTATGCTTTGTTCAATTATGGCTATTTGCATCCTGGAAGAATGTAAGAAGGCACGAGGGGAGTATTTTTTTTTAACAGACTTTATTTTTATAGCAGTTTTATGTTCACAGCAAAGTGAGTGAAAGAAGTGTTTTCCAAGCAAATGATAGTTGATATCAGGATATAGAGATTCCAGGACCAGAGCGGGGGAGGAGGGCTTGAAATGCCTGCATGTACCCTGTACTATACAGTTCTATACTTTAACTCCATATGACTAAAGATAGCTGGACTTTCTTATTTTTATTATTACAAAGATGGCAAGTGGAAAGCTAAACTTATAAGTTAGATGGGTATAGAAAATGCTTCTTGTGTGTGTCCTGGAACTCAAGTCCAGGGCTTTCAGCATGCTAACCATGCTCCATCACTGAGCTACATCTCCAGCCCCTTTATTTTGTTATTTTGGCTTTAATCTGAGCATTAGTCTAAGCCTTTTTTGCCCTCTGGCATCAGGTCTCCTGTCTACTTGGTTGCTTCCTGACTATAGTTGGATGAAATTCACAGCTGCCAGCCTGTAGCCTGATCTCCTAGCTTGGTGAGAGCTATGCCCGAGCTCCTGCAGTCTGCAGTGCCCCCAGAGTCTTCCATGGACCTCACCCAGCCCACCAGCCCTATGGTCTGCCTCTGCTGAGGAGTGACCTTGCCCTACTACTGCAGACCCTCGGCCACCCTCTCAGTGACTGTTAGGATCTCCTCTATCTGATCATGTCTCTTCTTTTTCTGTGACTTTCTCAGGTGTTTTATATTCCTTTTTACCTTTGTCATCTTCACTTATTAAAACATTCCATGCTCCCCACATCACCTTCATGCTAGAAGGAATTAATAGAATTTAATCCTTCAATCTTAGCCCTCAGTATGCTACAGCAGGAAGAAGTACTCTAGGAAAAGATACTTCTCTCCCTCAGAAGGAGAGAATGAAGTGAAACATGATTTATGGAGGAAGTTGCAATGTATCAGTTTGGTGTTTACGACCTGTTATCTCACTTACACACGACCTCTACATTCTCAGAGTCATTTTCCCAGAACATCTTCTCAGACAATACTCATAGAAAAGGATCATATTTAAAAATTTTGATGTCTCACCCATTTTAACTCTATTGCTCAAAATTTTGAATGTGTAGTTTTGGTTTGAGTAAAATTGCAAGAAGATCTACTGGAGAATAGTATGAAAATACATTAAAAATTATATTTCCAACCCATTTTAAACAAAGAATAGAGATACCATATAAAGCTTCCAAAAGACATAAACTTCTTTGGTAGCAGGCCATATTTTGAAAATCTGGGCTCAGTCCCTTTTTTATTCCAAGGTATTATTTCAGAAAGGACACATACTGCACTGAAATGACAAATAGATGCTCACAGCGCTCACTGTGACAGTGGGGAGAGCTCACAAAACACAGTAACAAAAAAAAAAGGGAGTATAATGGGGGGTGAACTTGTTCAAAATACATTCAAGGTATCTATGGAAATATCACAATGACAATCCCTGGTAAATCAATAACAATAAGGGAAATTTAAACATGATATGAAAGCAAAAGGATTAGCGAAATTAAAGAGATTGTAAATTCCTGAGCAGCTCCTAGTACTATTGTATTGAATTTATTCATTTTTTAAAAATTGTGTAACTTTAAGGGATATGTCATAGTGCTTTATTAAATGATGTTTTGGTATACATCCCTGACACGCAGCATTGCAAAGTCCATGCTGCTGTCTTGTGGCACTGAGCATGTTGAGCTGATAATCCCCTCACATACTAAGATGGATATTTTGCTTCTCATCCAACAAATTTCAGTTTGGCTTTAAAATTAGACAAGTTCAACAGTACAACCTCATTTCCCTAGAGGAAGGCAGGTAAAGAGGTAACTTTGTGTGTGGTCAGTCATGATTTTGTTAACTATCTGGAGACAGGTAGCACAGAGAGAACACCTGTAAAAGACTGTGTTATAGATGATCAGACACAGCCTGGCTTCTATTTCAACTCTATAAAGAATAGGAAGGTGTTTCTGCAATGTTGACAAGGCCCAGGAGGCTGTGAACTGAAGCAATCAGTTCAAAGTAAAATAGCAAAATACCTGCTTGTCAAACTGTTGAGAATAGAGGAACATAAAGTAGATTTTGATTTTAAATAAAAGTACTCTAGTGAAACATTCACTTTGATAATAAACAGAATGATTGTCAAAACATATATTAAGCTCAGTCTTAACCAAAAGCTGGAAATATTACACTCATTTAAGATAGAAACTGCAAACATGCTACCAAAAATATGAGTGATAACAAACTTAAAGCTTTAAAAATAAATATCTCTTTGAACCAGATTTATCCAAGTCTTCAATCTGGAGTGGATAAGAAGCATAAAAAGATATGAGAAATGTAAAATGTTATCAGCTAGCATATTACCTCTTCAGAGAAGTTTCACTCCCATGCCCTTCTCAGTGCCTACCTGACTGGAACTACTGCAGGGAAAGACTG